GAACTTGAAGAATTGCTATTCGAGAAATAAAAGATTGAAAGTATTACGTACAATATTTAAGTTAAGTTAAAAAGAGCATATCTTTGTATACGAAATGCGCTCATAATAAAATTAATATAAATATCTATCTTATATCGTACTTAAAACTAAGACTTAAAACTAAGGCATTGATCCATCGACGAGCTCTTAAACTAACTTAATTCTACGTCTTAACGTTAAATACTTAATACTAAAATACATCCGTACCAAAAACACTCTCCAACTCTAACTTAAAGCGAAATAAATTCACAATAAAATTCATAATGTTGAATTTCTAAATTCTGAATTTATACATTCGTATAAATAAACTCTAATTTAAAAAAAAAAGAAAAAAAAGCAAAAGAACGAAGTAACGAATAAAGAGAAAAATGAATATGAATATAAAGAAGAAAAAAATCAACCTCCTAAAAAAATCAATCCTCTTTAAATCACTGTCGCCCTTCGTATCACGACTTACATCAATGGACTTACGAAAATCGATGGACAGATGATACTTGCCAGTCGTGGTCAATAAAGGGTTACGACAACGGCCTCGCAGGAGAACGACTTACGTTCTGACGACACAGGAAGGAGCAAGGAATAAATTCCTGACCACCGGAGTCGATTTACGAGAACGACATTCGACCACGAGGCCGAACTCTGTTCGAGTACTCGAAGGTACCAATCGAACAGAGCGCGGACCCTTGACTGGCCACCGGAAGTAGAGCACCCGCCCAACCGATTTCTGCCACCGTTGCATGACACGTGGTTGACAGTGAAAAAAAAAGGAGAGGGATGAGAAATCAATAACAATGAAGAACAAACAAGTTGAGAATAAATTGAGGAAGAATTTAAATAGAAAAACGATTCAAAAGAAAATGCGAAAATGAAAACAAGATATTAAGAAAGGAATTGAGATTTTTATTTTTCGCTTCAAGTTAGAGGAATGTGTTTTGATATGGAATGCGCTTATAATTAAAAAAAAAAACTTAATTCTAAATAACATAATCTATCAACTTATTCTAACTAATACCTGCGATCCAGTCTATCATAATTAATATAAAAATAATTAAAAGAAATTGTGCAAGATTTTAGACTGGATTGCAGATGTGCGTAGCTCTTGGCTTGCCATCGCTTTCTATTACTGATGAAATATGTATGTGTAATATTTTTAAATTTCGAATTTTTAAAATATAAAAATATTTTAAATATAAAAAAATTATAAAAATATTGTAATATTTTATTAAAAATATTGTAATAAAATGTGTTTGTGATATGTGATTTTGAAAAATAGAATTTTTTT